GTTGTGGGCGGGGGAGGTGGTCCCGCAGTTGTCGGGGGACGGTCGGGCCTTTCGGGCGGGAGTGTTGGTTAAGGAGAGGGTTCTGCTGCGCCGGCGACGGCAGGAGGGCGCGGGCAAGTGCAGGGTCTGTCTCTTATACACATCTAGATGTGTATAAGAGACAGGCGTTAGAGAGAGAGAGAGAGAGAGAGAGAGAGAGAGAGAGAGAGAGAGAGAGAGAGCCAGTCACGTCGTCGTTCACGCCCGTTCACGCGCCCGAACGGAATCATTTGGCTGTTCACATCCGTTCACGCGGGTGAACGGAATTGTGAACGGCGGGTGTGAACGCTGAGGTGCCGGCCCGTCGACGGTTCCGGGCGCGGGTCCTACCGGGCAGGGCACCCCAGGCAACCGGCGGCACATCGGGACACAATTCAGGGGGGGGGGGGGGGGCGGTTGGATATGACAGGGAAAAAGAAAAAGGGGGAGGGGATGGCAGGGAAAAGGAAAAAGGGGGAAGGGGAGGGCGCGAAGGAGGCCTTTGTGCCGGTCAAGGACGATGACTAGTGCGAGGCTATTCGCCACTGCTGCATATTCAAGTACTTGATGAGGTGCGTGTTCAGACACCGGTGAGCGAAGTCGCACACCTCATAGGGTCGGTTTTTGGTGGTGCTAGTTCAGGTTTGTTGACAGAGGCTGCCAGAGCGTCAGGCGAGATACAGGAGGGCAGGACTGGTGATGACGGCGGTCGTGTTGCCAGGAGGCTACATATGGACCCCGAGGACGTGCTTGAGGAGGAGCGTTTGGCACGGATGGTGTCGGGGTGTGCCACGACACAGCGGCTTGCGTTGGAGCAGGACACGACTAGGGCGAGGGAGGTGGGGTGTAGTGTAGAGGAGGTCACTGCCACCAGACTGCCAGCAGAGTGTAGACACGATGGTCCTGCAGATGTTGCAGATGGTGGAGGACTCTGCACAGAGGGACGCGTGGTGGATCGTGCGGACGACCACCAGGAGGACGCGAGGGTAGGGTTGGGTGGTTTATGTGGGGCCAGCAACACGGTACTACCCACTACTGATGAGGCGGACGGGGGCGACGACGCGGCCACGACAGATGCAGGGGGGTTGCTTGGGTGCGATGGCACGGAGGTGGAGGGGCAAGTGGGTAGAGCACTTGTCGGCGTTGCCATTGCCGCAATAGAGGATGTGGTCGCAGATCACACTCAGGATGGTCTTGTCACGGTGGATGCTATGGTTGCACTTCGCAACGAGGAGGAGCAACAGGTGGACCCCGGGGACGTTGTTGCACACCCTGTAGAGGCACACGTGCCCAGCATGTCCCCACTCGAGCGCCACACTGCTGGGATTGATCCAGTGATGGGCAGGAGCAGGCATATATCGAAGAGGCTTTGGAAGGCTGTGCCTCCATCTTCTTTCGTGCCTGTTAGTCCGCCAGCACCTTCGGGGGTATCGGGGGATATTGGGAAGACTATGGAGATGGCCGACTTGTTCAAGCAATTGACAGGTCAGAGGGTTATCGAGCCGGGAGGGGTATCATGGGGAGCAGGGCCAGTTGCTGCAGGGACAGGACCAGCATGTGCAGGGGCGGTGAGTGGACGGGGAGGTGAGTCTGGTGGCAGTGTTGTGGGCGGGGGAGGTGGTCCCGCAGTTGTCGGNGGGACAGGACCAGCATGTGCAGGGGCGGTGAGTGGACGGGGAGGTGAGTCTGGTGGCAGTGTTGTGGGCGGGGGAGGTGGTCCCGCAGTTGTCGGTGGACGGTCGGGCCTTTCGGGCGGGAGTGTTGGTTAAGGAGAGGGTTCTGCTGCGCCGGCGACGGCAGGAGGGCGCGGGCAGGTGCAGGGTTCTCCATCACCTTCATCGAAGGCGAAAGGGAAGTCTGTATCATGGAGCAGCATCAGCAGGGTCAGCCGCAAACTCAAGGATGCTATGCCTCGGGTTACGAGTGAGAGGAGGGATCGTGAGGGGAGGTTGACAGAGATGTTTGCGGACGCAGCAGGCTGGGTATGGAAGGGAGATAGGTTGGAGCATCCTGGTGCCGGGTCGTCGTGTGCTGCAAATCGACGGGGCAGCACGATGGTTGCACCGCCGTCACGACCGCCCACAGCAGGTGCGGCACAACGAGATGGTCATCGACGTCCGAAAGGGCGATCTTCCACACGTGCTTTGCCAGGTGCCCGACCACCTCCAGCATTGCTGGAGGATGACCCTGATCCCGTTACTTTGCAGACGAGCCGTGGAGGTTGTATTTCTACTGCACACAGGATACTGGATGAGGAGCCGCGACGTCAGACAGGTACAGGACCGGGCAGTCGTCGAGCTGCTGGGGGCCGCACGGAGGATTCCGCGACGGATGGGGTGCCTATGCCTAGGGGTAGGAAGACATACAGGACTCTGACTGGCGTTTTGGGACGTTCTGCTGGAGGGGGTGTTGAGAGAGAGGCGGAGGTCCAGGAGGCAGAGAGGGTGGCAGCCAGAGCAGTTGCCAATCATGCCGTGTCTGCGTCACAGCATCCAGGGGAGGGAGAGGAGATGGCGGCGAAGGTGCCGCAAAGGCGGCGAGAGCGCATCATCGACGATGATGACACAGACGGCTGGCAGTGCGATGCGCCGTAGACTAGGACTTCGATTTCGCGCCGATGATGTTTGTGTGTATCTTTCTTCATTTAGAGTTTCACAGGTTTCGTTCTTCTTCTTGTTTTTTTGGTTTTATTTTGTAGTTATTCTTCTTTTATAATATTTCCTCTTGTTTACTTTTTTTTTTTTTTTTCATATTGACACTACTGTGCGACTTCGTGCTTCCACTGAGATTTCATGTATTTTACCATGCTTCCACATCTTTTAGTTACTTTGGTTACTTCATATTTTCATTGTTCAGTTTTTTTCTTACTATGGCTTTTGTGTTTCTGTATTTCGGTTTGTTATACTGTTTTCATTGAGGTAACCATGCGGGAATGTCTGGGGAGGGGTAACCTGTCTGGGGGGGTGTGCGGGAATGTCTAGGGAGCGGTAACATGGGTTAACAAAGGGGTATGTGGGAATGTGGGAGGAGGGGTTACTTGGCTTTAATGACGGCGTTGAGGGGTATCTGGGAATGTGGGGGGGGAGGAGAGAGTGAAGCCAAGGATACGAGTGTCACACAGGAGTTGAGCGATCACAGCTCGAAGCTACAAATTTCGGAGAAACGAAAACGGGGACCTGAGATGGTACTCAAGGATAGCCCGCCTATGGAGAAGCCGCCCAAGCGAATACCGAAGCAGGGAGTACTAAAACCGGTGAAGTTGACCGCCCTCATGACCAGGGCAAAAGCACGAAGATTGTTGAGTACCATGCCATTAAAGAAGACTCCCGGACGACCACCAACCATCAGCTTACCGGTGAAGACGCCGTTATCTGGGGGGAAGACCTCGAGGACACCGAGGACGATTAGAGCGACCTCTCCACAGATGCCGTTGTGCGCTCATGTTACGCGCGGTGCCTTGGAACGTCTACGCTATCGGAACAAGATGATCGATGAACTAAACTCGCTTGATGTTGTGGAATTACAAAAGTTGTGCAAGAAGGAGGGTATTCCTTACGATGGGAAGATTGAGTCGATACTCGATATTGCCGACATGAAGGCAATGAAGAAGTTCGGCACTACGATGCAGGAGATTGCCGAAGTGATAAGTGTCGAAGAATCAGAGGACCTGGTGGGCGGCTCAGACTGAGAAGTCGGATCTGACGATGTGGTGGCCTGAGGACCTTTGGAGACGCCGAAGTTATGGAAGCTTTGCAAATACATCACTAATTTAAGAAGGGAGGCGTACACGTTTGACCAGAGAGTGGAAGAACTGCTATGTCTGCTTATCCTGAGCCTGGCAATGGATGGACGAATCCGATGGTTGGGTAAGTGTGTGAAAAATTGGCTGCGACTGTATGAGAAGCACGGTCTTGAATTTCTCAGACTGTTTAGTAATTGTGTATATATTGGGGCCTTGTTGTACTGTAAGTCTCTCTACGTCGGGAAGACTACACGTAGCACCCTAGTGAGATGGCGTGAACACTTATATGCGTCTCGAACTATAAAACAGCCGCACTTCCATAAATGGACCTACACGTTTGGAATTGGGAAGTACGTACTAATTCCCGTTGACGTTCTCGAAGGTACTGACTTAGGCAATCTTGAGAGGTTGTACATTTAGCAATGGTCACCATTTCTTAATACTGTCGGTATTCCGAAGGGATCCGGAAAGAAAAGTAAACCGGGACGGAGGGAATGAGCCGCTGTACATAGGAATCGGTAGGATGAATGGGGTCAGCAACGAGCAAGGATACCTTCGTCCCTGTTCGTATGCGCCAGAATCAGAATGAACCATGGTGCATTAACTTGTTTCGTATACTGAATGAGAGTCATCTGATTGGCGTCACGGATGTATCGTGTGAGTTTGAGTCTGGCAACGTATGGAGCGGCGGCTGGAAGGGCATCGTTAAAACTTAAAACATTTGGTGAGACAAAAGTGTTTTTCGAGTAGGGTTTTCGAAGACTGAAGGAGTGCAAATCTATCTTCGAAGGAGGGGGCGTTTTTCGCTTTGCTCACATTTGCAAGTGGAACCTACTTGTTGCTATCTGAAGAGGATGCTAATCGGTATCCTGCGAAATCCACGTAGACTTAATGATGTGTATAGGTGGGGTATTAAGTCTCTTCTCAGGTTATATAATGTCATTAAGGATTTTTCTCGTAAGGAAACTCGGAAGTATTTGCGGCGGTTGATCTTCAGAATTTTCCGAGATCGCTTCGATATTTGCGTGGGGGCGGATCCCGTATTTCGTGTTAAATATGATGAACGGATTAAATTGTATGTGTTACGTAAGATAGTGAACGATTGTTTAATGATGTGTGACTTACCTTTCTGGTACTTGCAGCGGACTCGGAAAAAAATTCGCATTGTGTGGGTTAAGAAGCCATCCACGGCGAAATTAGTACACAACCCCCGCATTTTTATGACCAGGAGTGTACTCATCTGCAGTTGTGCAGGTTTGCCCTATCCGCGTGAGGAGGGCCACGTCCATTTCCGCTTAAGTCATATGGAGGGAACTCACCCATTGTTACACAATGCTAAGAACATACCACGCATTTTGAAGAATGATCGGGCTATGTATCACCCGCGGTCGGCATCCCGACCGCAGCGGACGACCGCCTGCGGCCAAGTGCGGTCGGAAAACACCGACATTTTAAAATCATAGGATAATAGGCCAAAAACAAAGACAAAAATATGGGGTTTTAGATTTTTGTGCGCTGTACAACCTTATATTTTTAGTTTTATTTTTTGACTTCTTTTTTATTTAAAAAAAAATGAAAAACAGAAATCCCTCATGCAAACGTTCTTGGTTTTATTCTTTTAGTAAGAAAAATAAAGGATTTTGTTTGTTTTTTATCTCAAATTTGGTAACGAATTTTGATAAAACCCCAGGGCAAAAGTTGTTCAGTTTAGGTTTTTTTTTTTTTTAAAGTTTTTTTTTTTTTTTTTGAATTCGTTTTTTTTTTTTTTTTTTTTTTTTTTTTTTTTATGATCGAGGCCTCGCGGCCGAGACCGCGGTGCACGGTCGTGCCCACGGCGACCGCGACCACGGGGGATTCATAGTGACCGGGTAGTCAGTCTTCAGAAGGAGATCGCGGCCAACTTCGATACTTGGAGGAACTGTCGAAAGAAGCCTCCCTTGGTGTCGATCGACACTCTTCGTGAGTGTTTCTCCCTGGATGAACCATCTGTATCGTGCCTGTACGCGCACCAGGTCCTTGATGTGAAGAGTCGTTTTGAGGGTTTAGTCCTTACTCCCCTGGATCGAAACCCAAGCGAGACCATAGTAATGTGCCCCGCTGTGTTTTTCGATGGGATGATGGACACGTTTGTGAGGAATCCGGGGTACAGAATCATTTTGGCATCTGAAGCAGAGATAATGAGGGAGATTAGAGAGTACACGACTGCGGCAAGGCTGGGTAATTTTGCCAAATGGGATAAGTCGGGAATCTTCAGATCGGCCTATATTGTACCCAAGCACGAAGACTTGGGAAGATATAGACCGATCTGCCCGACGTTCAACGAAGCAATGATTAAGACGGGGAGAGTGGTTTCCAGAGCCCTTAACCACTTGTTGTCAACAGTACCTCGAAGCTGGCACTTCAACCTGCCATCTGTATCGATGTTGCCGCAGCGTCTTAATGATGCTAACAGAAGGATTGTACGAATGGGGCAGGGATATGAAGTATTTTCTCACTCCTTCGAGATCAAGGAAATGTTAAGTCGCCTTCCAGGCTTCCACATAGCAACATTCTATGGGTTGTTGAGTGGGTGATCGCCTTCCACTTGTCGATGGATCGGACCTTCATTCGGGTGAACACGAGAGGGAGAGGTGCTTCCTTCGGTGTGACTACGGGCGTAGACCACTGGTGTAAGCTGAACCTCACAGAGATTTTGACCTTCGTCAAGTTGGAATTAAAACACACGTACACCTTCGCTACCGGTGTGTTATTGCAGCAGGTTGTTGGGATCCCGGTGGGGAAAACAACTAACTCCCCTTTGGCTGGGATTTTTTGTGCCTATTCGGAGTTCTTGTTTCTTCGTAGCCTGGGTAGACATGCCCACTGTGTTTTCGGTTATCGTTTGGTTGATGACGTCATGTTTGTGATTGTGACCAAAGACAAGGAGCAAGCATCGCGACTGCTAACCATCTTGAGGCTTGCTACCGTGACGCATTAACCCTAAAGCGGATTGATGATGGAAAAGAGGCTTTCGATTTTTTGAGTTGCTTGATTCGTACGTCTAAGTTTTTTCCCTATTTAAACTGTGTTCAGATGTCTAAGAACAAGGAGTGTGTTTGGACGGAGGAACCCCTGAAGATCCATAGTGGACAATCGGACTCCTTCCTTTCCTGGGGATGCAAAAGGCAGAAGAGCGATGTCATAAGCGGCTATCTGCATCAGATCAACAAGAATACCACGATCCGGTCTGAGATACCTCGGCGGGTTGTGACGTTGAAAAGAGAGCTAATTAAGGACTTCCCGAAATCTTTTTTTCATCGCGTGCTTAAGCATTTTGCGGCTATGTGACACCCGCGGCCTAGGCCGCGGGGATTTCGGCCGCGGCGGCCGAGATTCTCGGTCGTGGCCGCGGCCGATGAGGCCCGGTTCGCGGCCTGGTTTTTTCATTATTTTTTTCTTACCCCTAAACATACGTAAAAATATATATATATGGGGGTGTTGGGCTTCGAAAACCCTACACCCGTGTATTTTTTTTTTTGGAATCTGACTTTCTTTAGGATTTTTAAAAAATCAAAAACTAAAATCGATTATATATATATATATATATAAAGAAATGCAGGAATTTTTTTTTGCCATTTTTTATCATGAGATATATGGTCCCTAAGTACACGTGTATTATTTTTTTAATTGGATTTTTTTTTTTTTTGCAGGGAAATGAGGTGTTTTTAAAAAAAAAAATGCAAAATTTAAAAATAAATAAACAAAAAACTTGAAAAAAAGGTTTTGATTGATTGATTGATTGATTGATTGATTGATTGATTGATTGATTGATTGATTGGATTGATTGTGAGTGAGTGAGTGAGTGAGTGAGTGAGTGAGTGAGTG